TGCTCCACTTAACTATACACCCCATTAACATCACTGCAACTGCAGTGACGCTCTAGCTGAGCCCCTTTTTCACTTTCATCTCTAAATATCACTGCTAATAGTACTTAGTATTTCCGTGTGAGGCTCTAATACTGAGTACCACTGCACCTCTGCTCTTGCAGAGACGCTTTGCCGAGCCTTATTCTCCCTCTGCACCACTGCTGCAACAGTTAAGCTTTGCCTGAGCTGCAACTGCAGAGACGGCTGTTTAGCCTTAATTCTCTGCACCACTGATTTTATTGCACTTCTGTAACTGCAGAGAAGCTCTGCTGAGATTATTTTTTCCCCTGCACCAATGCTGCAGCAGTGACGCCCTGCCTGAACAGTCTTCCAACAACAGATATAAACTCTGTCATTGGTCCTCTAACACCTCTAAATCCTCAATTTGCCTCAGCCAATATTTCCTCAGAGAAGCCCAGCTGATTCTCGGTTGTAGACTTCAACCTAGTTTCCAAGCAGCACGACTCTGTCTGTTCTTCCTACTTTCTGTCTTAGTTGCATAGGACTCATTTTTACTAAACTTTCCTTTTTATTTTATTAAACTTCCCTTCTCTTTCTCTTCATAATTTTTTAATTTCACTTGCACTCATTCTCCGCAGCTCGGACTCCCACAGGGGTAGCCCCAAGCTCCCACTGCCACAGCAGTGAAGCTTTTTAAAAGCTCACATGTACACTTTTCAAAAAATTTAACCATTATCACACTCCGCCGCAATAATACTGCCGTAAAGGCGTAGCGGGAACTCGTATTGCTTCCATACTGACTACAATTACACCTCTACAGCAGCTCCACTTAATTACATTGCATTGTAGCATCAATTTATTCTCCATCACCACACTCCCCGCAACAATACAGCCATAAAGGCTTAGCGGGAACTCGTATTGCTTACATACTGACCACCATCACACCTTTACAGCAGCTCCACTTAATTACATTGCATTGTAGTATCAATTTATTTTCCATCACCACACTCCCCGCTATAATACAGCTGTAAAGGCTTAGCGGGAACATGTATTGCTTTCACACATATAATGCACCAGACTCTGAATACCTATGCACCCCTGCAGCCACAGAGTTGGTCTACTGTGCCTGATTCCTATCTGCTACACAGCCGTTAATCAGCTCTCCAAAGCGCACTTCCCTTTAGAAACTGACTTTCACCGCACCTCTGCAGCCGCAGAGACGCTCAGCCGAGCATCACTCCCCTCTACATCACTGCCGCAGCAGTGACGCTTAGCGAGCGCATATACACTTCCACTTAGCAATCCACTACTGATACACTCTCCAGCACTGCCAAAGCAGTTAAACGTCTCTGCGAAAGCGTATTTACCTTCCAGATACTGACTTCCATTGCACCTCTGCAGCAGCAGAGACGCTCAGCCGAGCATCTTTTACATCCCCTGCACCACTGCTGCAGCAGTGACGCTCTGCTGGAGCTCATGCACACTTCCATTACACTTATACCACTTCTGTCACTCCCAGCACTGCTAAAGCAGTTAAAACGCTGCTGCAGAAGCGTATTCTTCCCCTTAGGACTGACTACCACCGCACCTCTGCAGTCGCAGAGACGCTCAGCCGAGCATCACTCCCCTCCACATCACTGCCGCAGCAGTGACGCTCAGCGAGCGCATATACACTTTCATTTAGCAACCCAATACTGATACACTCTCCAGCACTGCTAAAGCAGTTAAACGTCCCTGCGGAGGCGTATTTCCCTTACAAATACTGACTTCCATTGCACCTCTGCAGCAGCAGAGACGCTCAGCCGAGCATCATTTACATCCCCTGCACCACTGCTGCAGCAGTGACGCTCTGCTGGAGCTCATGCACACTTCCATTACACTTATACCACTTCTGTCACTCCCAGCACTGCTAAAGCAGTTAAAACGCTGCTGCAGAAGCGTATTCTTCCCCTTAGTACTGACTACCATCGCACCTCTGCAGTCGCAGAGACGCTCAGCCGAGCTTCATCCCCCCTGCACCACTGCTGAAGCAGTGTCGCTCCACCGGAGCTCACGCACACTACCATTTATCCATACCACTACTGACACACTCCCCATTGGACTGCCAAAGCGGTTAATCAGTTAACCGCTTCTCATCTGCAGCTACAGCTCCGCAGAACCTTACAGCTTTATTTTCCATCACTACTATACTAAACCTTTACGAAACTCACCACATATGTTTTAAACCTTTACACTTACCCCACTCACTCTCCCGCTGGTCCTTACAATTAACAGAACCCGGGAGCACACATAGTCATACATAAGCACTTTCAGTTAATTTTTACACCCACACCAGTCTCTGTTGCTCCTCCAAGCTATTTCTATATCACTTTTCAGCAGCCGGATATGGCATTAATCTCCTGTGCCTTTTGGGGGGTTCTTCAAATACGCGGCTGCTGTCCCGAGCGGAGCATTTTGGGGAGTTGTCGAGATCTACCTGAGCTCGAGGCTCCCCTCTCTTCCTCCAAACGGGAGGGAGCCCAGGGCTCAAGAACCTTCGAGCTCAGGGCTCTCTCCCGGGACAGCATGCCAAACTTGCTTATAATCAATCATCAGCTAAGTGTGAACTCTTGAAGTGAAGTTTATTCATAAACTAATTTCGAGAGGAGCACGTGATTATGATTGAACACGGCTGGTCCTGCATTAGCATGCTTGATCCACCAATCAGGCCATTCCTAACCACTATAAAGAGCCAGGGTTTTTTCACTACAGTCATCTTCGATTTGAAGAATCCCCCCTTCCACCCCTACCTTTTCACCTTTCCCTCCATAGGGCAGCACGGTGGCTCAGTGACTAGCACTGTCGCCTCACAGCAAGAACGTCACCGGTTCTAGTTCCTTAACAGGCCGGTGGTCGTTTCTGTGTGTAGTTTGCATGTTCTTCCCGTGCTTGCGTGGGTTTTCCCCGGGTTCTCCGGTTTCCTCCCACATTCCAAAAACATGTACAACAAGTTAATCGTTAAATCTAAATTTTAATACAGGTAATCTAATAATGCAGCATATCTTTTAATAGCCTTTAATCTTAATCTTTAGCTATTATAAAAAGGGGAGTTGTCGAGATCTACCTGAGCTCGAGGCTCCCCTCTCTTCCTCCAAACGGGAGGGAGCCCAGGGCTCAAGAACCTTCGAGCTCAGGGCTCTCTCCCGGGACAGCATGCCAAACTTGCTTATAATCAATCATCAGCTAAGTGTGAACTCTTGAAATTGTTATGATTATTAATTAAATAATTTTACATTGTTATCTATTATTTTTGACTGCTCATTATTTTATTACACAATTTGAAACATCAAAGTTGACACTACTTGGATTAAAATTGCTTTCTACGCTGAAAGAAAATTACTCATTGGATTTACTAAATACTTTAAAGGTAACTGTTTGCAAACAATTTATAATGGCAGAATTTAACCAAACACATCAAGTTCACTGAAAAAAATGCTTTTCCTAGAGGTTTTGTCTTGTTTCTAGTCCAAATATGTACAAATTCCTAAATCAAGAAGCAGTTTTAGACAAGTAAAAAATGTTGTCTTGTTTTGAGAAATAATGTGTCAAAATTCAGCGAGTTTTTCTTTAAAATAAGCAAAATAATCAGCCAGTGGGGTTAGCCAAAAAATCTTGTTTAAGATGCCCTTGTTTCACACAGAATTAGGTCGGTCTTTAATCTCTAAGTATGCTCCATATGTATGTAATGAGCTTCAATATAGCCTATACTACATATAAAATCTGTACCATCGCTCAGTATATTTAAAACTATATTAAACACTGTCAATATAGAACAGTGCACATTTTTATAATTGATTATGGTTTATACTATTTTTGTGTGTCTTTGTGTTGTATTTTTATTTTTTTGTAACTTTGTCATTCATTAGCACTCCCTGGTAGAAGAGATATTTTATCTCAATGGGACATTCCTGGTTAAATAAATAAATAAGTTTTGCTTGTCTAGAAAATGCAATGGGACATTCCTGGTTAAATAAATAAATAAGTTTTGCTTGTCTAGAAAATGCTTGATTTAAGAATATTTAGATATTCAGATTAGAAACAAAAAATCTAAGTAAGAAAACTATTTTTTACAGTGTTTAATTTAAGTTGTTTGTTTAAATTCAGCCCCTATAAATTGTTTGGAACTAGTTACCTCAAAAAAATAAATCCAATGATTAATTTTTCACACATTTTAGTGCCTTTTTATTCTTTTGCAGGTCCTTTCTTACATATTTTTCACTACAAATATCACGTAGTGAACATAGTATCACTATAAAATCAGATGCATTTCAAGACATTATACACATTATAAATACTGCAGAGTACACATAAATACAATATAAGCACTCCAGGGCTAGTTATCACATGGGGAAGTTGTTACAAGGGCTCTCAGTAACTATGAGGTTTTGACTCAAACTGCAATTAAACAAATTGTGTGTTTTCTCTACCAGCGGTTTTGTGTGTTGGTTAGACAAGATTCAGCTGTATAATTAAGGTAGACTTTAACTGTAAGGTTGATCTTTGTTCTCAGGATAAGGGTATTTTTGTCAACTGAAGGATAACTTTATTTTGAGAGTGAGATGTCATGTTGGTTTTAAATTATACGCATTTAAACTATATATTGAATTATATATTTAGCCGATAGGAAAAAAATCATGGACATTATAGTCTAGCTGTTAATATTAAAACTGACTTAAGAATGATATAAAACCCTATCCCAGATAAATATTCAGATATCTTTTTTTGCATTGTAGTAAGATTGTTAAATGTACTGTTATAGTGAGTTCAGACGGACTGAGATGAAGTGTGGGAGTTTTTCCTCATATCCGAGAACTGACTCAAGTACACAACTGCATCAGCGACGTAACTGGCTGGAATTATCGCCCATCCCAGAAGCATAATTTACACGGGCAAAATATTTATACAGAGGCGGACCGAAATCACTTACAACAAGTCCATTCACGAAACCGAGTGGAAACAACCCACGTCCCAGTCTGCAGACTTCTTATCAGTACAAGTACTTCAGAGGAAAGCCGCTGGTTCCTTCAAACATCTGTGTTAAAGAAGCTTTCGGCAGCATCATGAACGTTTTGGCTGTCCTGCACTGTGTGATACTTATTTCAGTTTGTGAAATACTTGGAGAACATCGAACGAGCGGTGAGTGAATTATAACGCATTACCCAACTATTTAGTTGTGTATTTGAATTTAACCGATTTTTAAATGTGTTATAATGAGAAAACAGCGCTAAATATGGTATAAATGTTATCATTTACTTACTTTAAGTTCAAACTGACCGCGGTCGAGCAGCTGTTGCTATGGTTACCTCCTCACTCACATGCAATTCCTGTTAGCAAGATCAGAAATTGACTGAATCCTGTATAGTAAATGTTCACAACTTTATTAACTTTAATACATTTAAGACCACTAAGTTTATTAACTTACTTCCTTGATTAGTAGCCTACATTAACAAGCAAGCAAGAAATAAACGGAAAGTTAGTGCCCTTTCCTGACGAAAATTAGCCAATATTATATTGTAAATGTTGTCGTTTTTTTTCTGTGAGATTGAAAACCAAATATTACCACAGTTTTACAACAAATATTTTAGTTAAACAGTGTAACGCTGATAATAGTTTAAATCGTGTAAAGTCCTAATGTTTGGTTACCTGTTTTTATTTTCCTTGGTGAAAAAACAGCTTAAACCAGACTGGTTTTAGAGGGGGTTTCGGCTGGTAATCTTCCAGCCTGACCAGCTAAGACTAGGCTGGAAATGCCTGAAAACCAGCCTGGAAATGGCCAAAACCCTTCTAAAACCAGGCTGCTAAACCAGCTAAAACCAGCTAACTAGCTTAGGCTGGTTTAAGCTGGGGTTTTTTTTCAACAGGGTCATGGCCAAACTATAGTTAATTTTATACGGTTTCAGATTTTTTTAAGGGTTCAGAAACAGTCAACAGTTGATTTGAATGGTTGTTTTACAAAGTCAGATCCAAGAAATGTAATCGAGTAATTCTGTTTTTACAATTGCTGAAACTTGTCAGAATCAGTGAAAATATTAATTCCTGATATATTTTCCTTGCGAGAAGATATGTCACATTTTTAGAGAATATGACATTGTACCATGTTTGTTTTAGGCATCAAAGAGTTTCCCGTCAGTCTGTGTGAAATTAAAAAGGAATGAATGAAAGACATAACTTGAATAATATCAGGGTGGATTAAATGTGTTTTCGGTCAGTCTGTGTGAAATTGAGACGGAATGAATGAAAGACATAAATAATATCAGGGTGGATTAAATGTGTTTTCATTCTGTGTTTGTGTATTTAGCTGGCATGTGCTGGTTGCAGCAGGGTCCGGAGCACCGCTGTGACATGGTGCTCATGAGGGGTGTGAGCAGGGAAGAGTGCTGTGCTGCTGGCCGTCTGGACACTGCCTGGTCCAATGCTAGTCTGCCCATCAATGAAGTCAGCCTGCTGGGATTCCTGGGAATAGTTTCCTGTAAGCCGTGTAAAGGTACAGACTCGTATTTATCCTTTGTTCTAAGATCTCAGCAGGCAGACATGGTCCTCCTGCTGCGCAATGTTCCAACTTGTTGATATCAGTCAAAGTCCTCTTGAGCCGGTCAGTACAGAAATCCGTATACACATTAGAGAACATTCCTCAAATTAGTGCTGAACTTGTTTGGAGAATTTTTTATCTAATGTGATTCCTGAGTGATTTTTGTTACTTTCTCTGGTTGTTATGGAAAGCATTCGCTACTGTTCGCCAGGTGCGTAGGTTTATAAAAGGGCTCCAAACATCTGCTGTCATTAGACATTTTAAACATTGAGTATTATCGGTGGAGTAAACAAGTTAGCCAACATAGTAATTTGAATGAATTTCTTCAGCCCAGCAAGCCCACAGTCATGCTCAGAATTGTAGTTTTGTGGCTTTTACTGCATATCATATTAGGTTTGTGGTAATCTGCATGATAGCATACTCTTAAAATTCACTTTTAGCAGATAAATGCTTATAAAATTTAGAATCATTCTCTTTCAGGCAAGTCGTTATAGTCATTCTCATTAGGCACTCACTCCTTTCGTCCAATCAAAGGCATTTTTAAATAAGAATGTCCCTCCATGTAAAGCTGTAGCTCAATTTTGCAAAAATAAAAATATATATTGTCATATTGATATATGGGTGTAGCTTTTTGATAATGTAGACCCCACAAAAATTTGTTTGTTTGTTGATCATCTAGCAAAATCCACATGAAGAAATCTGTCCTCATTGAATGAAATTCTATAGAAATGAATGAATTTCACTCACAATATGTTTACTCATTCATTTATCCAGCATATGCTTTACGCAGCAGATGGCTTTCCAGCTGCAACCCATCACTGGGAAACACCCATACACTGACTGCATTACTCTTGCAAAATAAATAATGGACAATGATAAAAGTTAATGCACCTTAATCTGGCCTGCATTAGCAATAGCAAGTTTAATTCCTCTTTACAAAAATTGATATAGAAATGGCTGGATTTTTAATTTATTTTTCTCAAAACATTATTTTCCTAAAAAAACTAAATTATTTAAATATTTTTATTCCTAAAACATTAAGCTATATTTTCATTATGCCTAAAATGAATAAATAGTTTAACATAATAGCTGCAACTTCTCCCCCTTTTCTCTCCTCCCTCTCTCAGCGTTTGCTCTTTCACAATGCGTATTGGAAAGCAGACTTGTTTTGCCTTTCCCTCTCGGAGATGACTGAATTCCAGCACACCGCAAAGAGAAATGTGTGCCACATGCTGGAGAGGTCTGGTCCTCATAAGCCTCAAACACAATCAGCATCATTAGACACTTGAGGAGGGCGGGGAGAAACACTGGAAGTGAAAGTCTAATATATTGTTTGTTCCATGGCGTTTGCTTTCCATTATCATAAAACTGTATGGACTAGCGGACCCTACTGTGTGACCTCACCGGCCTGTTCTCCATGTTAAACGCTTCAAAGCATTCCATAAAGCTCAACTCACGCTTAGCGTCTGTCCGGCGCATTTCCTTACATTTGTTTTTTGGGGGCAGACATGGCAGTTCGTAAATCATGTGTGACTGCCGGCGGATCTTAAGGAAACATAACAGGGTTATGCTGGGATTTTCAGAAGGGCTGGAGGTATCTGGTTCGGCCTTGAGTGATTCTGTTGGCTTCCCAGGGAAGGGGAGCAACAGGATATTAAAGGACTTGCAGGAATGGAAACCAGAAGCTAGGACAATGAGGTCTGAATTGTGGAAAGCGTCTCAAAAGATTTCTGATGTGTTTTGTTTTCTCTGGTTTCAGAGACAAATAAAGTAGAATGGAGGGTTAATGGTTAAATGTGTCAACGGATGACCCATTGGTCTCCATCATACACCTGGGGCCAGTTGCACCAGCAGTGCGTAAGTTAAAACGTAGCCTAGTTGTGACTTAAAGGGACAACTTACACGTTACCAAATATTTTTGTTGCACCACCAAACTTTGTTTAAACGTAGCACTGCGTTCCAACTAAATCTTTATGGCAGCTAAATCTGTACGCCATGTATAACGGTAGAAAAGATGTGACCGCAAGATTAGTTTACATTGTGGAGCTCACGATCATAATGAAGAATGATCTCCCCCTCTACTCACAGCCGTATTTTCCTCTCACATTGTCTTAAGAACATATGGTGCAACCATAGTAAGCACAAATTTAGTTACAAACTAGCTAGTAGTTACTAAGCCCCAAGTGTGGACCTTACGTTCCAGTTTAAGAAAGAACTTACGATCAGCTGGTGCAACCCTACCCTGGTGCAGCGTGGTGCAACAACAAGTGTTTCATTTTCAGGTCTTGCTCTACGTTTAAATAGCAAATGCATTTGTGCATAAAAGTTGCTTATAACACACACAAGGATGCACAGGAGTATTTTTAAATCTGAAAGATTATTATTATCTACTTAAATATAAAAATACTACGTCATCCCACAGCTTCTTCACCTCATGGGTTTTGGAGGAATCCGGCTCGTTTCATAGAGGTCTGCTTGCACAATTTAATCTCGTGCACGAGCATATCCATTTCCTCGCTAATAAAGCATTTAGTTTTTCTGTTCATGTAAATAGTGAACTCTTAAGCAACTTGTTCTTAAATAGAATGGCAGGTGATTTGATTAATGCACATAATGGCCATAATACACCAATAACTCTTTAAGAGAATAAGAACAGTCCTTTCAGACTATGCACTAGGTGCACCAACAGTTTATCCTTTCCTTAAAATAGCAAAAATGATTTAAACACAGTGTAACTTTATCTGTGCCATGCACTTTAGACTATGTGATTAGATCATTTAAATAGATCCTATTAGCTACGTTTCCATCCAAAGACGCGAATTAAATTTGATTCACAAACCTGGAATATCGCATATAAGACTAGCGAATAAAGCAGCGTTTTCATCCAACTAGTCAAAAAGAACAAAATCATTATTCCTGATTAACTGGTGCCAAATATCAAAAGTAAAAACAAGATTTGCTGTGGTAGGAGAAGCTGTGTCAATCTTTTCTCCATTTGAAAAGTTACTTGTGCCTCAGAAGATAGTATACCGACGCACAATGAACGCGTGGTGGTGATTAAAGGCATGATCGTGGAACTTGAGTCCTAGTTCTGGAGGTAATTAATAATAGCTCTAATAGTGAAACGGTTAAGGCATTTTAGAATGACCAAAACAACATTTCAGATGTTTTACAATGTGCTCAGCCTGCTGATTTGTCCATTCACACACATCTTTATCATCACATGATCTCTTATAAGAAAATTAATTGACTTTCTTAATGCACATACTATAATTTGTTTGGTAAAAATATTTCCATCGTACTTTTCTTATCGAATAAAAAGTTTGTTATAAGTATGTTTTCTTATGTGCATTTTACAAATGGATTTGCATCGTGGTGTTTCCACCAATCGTAGGTGGATGGAAACATAGCTATTGACCCAATCTGTAATTGATAGTATTAGGATACATTTTTTGACAAGGCTAAATACAGGTGTAAGTCTACTTTAAAATATTTTGAGTTTTCCACTTTCAGCCACTACCGAAAGTAGTCAAAAAACATTTTGATTGGACTGCTCTGTTGGAGAAATTCTGATGACAGAAGTCCATGTGTCCGGGGAATTTCATTGAGGGAAAAATTAAAAGATTTTCCCAATTGGTCATCCTTATTGAATGTTACTTAGTGTGATATACACTTCTGAAAATACATAGCAAAATATCGCTAAAGACACTGCACCTTTAATGAGAGGGGCATTCTCAGTCTTAAAAGCTTTCGATTGGATGAAATGATTGAGTGCAGAATAAGTCTTCATCTATTTCTATATCTTCATTCATGTAAAACAATGACTATAACTGTTAAAAATGATTTGAGTGTGTCCACGTTTTACTACTCCTAGTGGTAGTTGAAGTCTCATTATTTGGATTGCTTTTGTAGAGTCATGTAGCTGTCTAATAGATTTTAGTAGCCACAAAAGACCACATGCTGACTGTCTGAACACAATCATTTTGGGACTAAAACAAATCATTCTTTGCTGTGTACCACACACAAGCATTACTGTCTAATATCTATAATAGTGCCATACACTTTCCCATAGTCTCAAAAGGTGCATAACATTGGTTCATTCACTTGGTCACCAGAGATGCAGTTGAAATTATGTAAATACCAGGTGGAAACAGTAAATAATTTCAACTGACCATTTAAATGACATCATTGAAAACTAATAATAGCAGGCAGTCTTTGATATTAGCATGTTGCTAAGCTAACCCTTGATACTCAAATATGCATACACACATTTAGTCATTGACATTTTTTCATTAGTTAATGAATTGCAGGTTTACTTATGCTCTACATTTTCTCACTTTATCCACTTTCTTTCATATACAGAGAACTGTGAAGGAGTGAACTGTGGCCTTGGAAAGGTGTGTAGAATGAAGTCAGGACGCCCACAGTGCGTTTGCTCTCCAGACTGTTCCAACATCTCCACTAAACACGCAGTGTGTGGGAGCGATGGGAATTCCTACAAAGACGAGTGCGCGCTCCTGATGGCTCGCTGCAAAGGTCATCCTGACCTGGAGATAATGTACCAGGGGGAATGCAAAAGTACGCTTCTTGTTTTCAAGTTCCACATGCTGAGTCTATTATTTGCTAAGATGTTTTGAAGTCAAAAGCTTTATGTTCAGATTATTATTGAAGTAAAAGCTTTCATTTATGGAAAAAGTGCACTTAATTGGATCAAATAAGCACTTGTCCTTCGGATTTTTAAACAGTATTCGCTGATAATGTTATAAAAACAATATTAAGTGAACAAAAGGCATCTTGAATGTGCTAAATAGAATACACATCCATTACTTTTTCTCATACTTAAATGCATTTTTCATTGATGTCAATTTGAAATAGTTTAAATAATCTTTTATCATGATTACTTGATTGCGACATGTTGATTAATTGTCTAAAGCATATAAAGTACTTTAAGTTGATTGTAATTTTAACCCAGCAGGCACACAACATCATAAGACAATAATATTAGGTTCGATTTAGGCATGGGCCGGTAAAAGATTCTGATGGTATGATAACCTTGGATAAAAATATCACGGTTTCATGGTATTGTGATTACTGCTCTAAAATATATTCATTAAATATATTTTAACATTAAAAAATTTTGGGTAAAAAAACAAAAACTTTTTCCTCTTTGAACTCAATATATTTTATTTTGAAAAATGTTTCAAATATTTTGTAACAGTAAACATGTCTGGCTAAATAATTCAAATAAATTATCGACTTGTGCTGTCTTCATTAGATTCAGAAACACAGATTTCTTTACACTTTAAAATGGCATCTTTGGATATATTTTCTGCTGGAGATACTGTCCATAAAAAAAATTAAAAAAAAACGTTTTATAAAAAATCGTAACGACATCAAATTACGCTAATATATGGTTGATTTTAGGTTGTGTTGGAAAGTGACCTAACACCTGATAGATGTCAAAGTGGTAACGTCCACGCAACATCAAGGTGTAGCATGATTAGACGTTGATATTTAGTTGATTTTAGGTTGGATTTTGGGTTCTGACAACAGCCTGATTTTAATTTCCAAACAAAATCCAATGTCTCTATGACGTTGGGGTACAACATCAATATCATGTCATGTTGACGTCCTGTGCCTGCATGGTAACTGTAGCGTTAATATAAAATACTAAATAGCAACTTTAAACATATAATGTCTCCCATTTAAAAATTAATACAAATTTATTTAAATACGTGGCATACAAATTTCAATAGAAACAACACTTAATATTTAAGGGTAAATTAAATATAAGTATGCCAAAGTGTACTTCTTTTTCACAAGAGTGTCCAAAATTCAGCATCTGAAATGGTTTATCTGAAATTCACTGATGTAACTTATGACTCAAACTGTTAAAAACTGCGAAAAAATTGTTTATAATACCCAATTTTTGGGTCTCCTATATAAAGAGCAATAGTATGTTAGCAAATATATATATCAAAAAAATCCATATTCCAACATATTTCCTAACAATTTTACCATTCTTTCAGAGTCCTGCTCAAATGTGGTATGTCCTGGTACTCATACCTGTGTGACGGACCAGACTAACAGTGCCCACTGTGTCATGTGCCGCACTGCACCTTGTCCGATGCCCATGATCACCGAGCAAACCATCTGCGGCAATGATAACATCACTTACCAAAGTGCTTGCCACCTGCGTAGGGCAACCTGCTTTTTGGGTCGATCCATAGGAGTTCGCCACTATGGACACTGCAGAAGTACGTTTCCTTTTGCTATCAATCATTGACGATTACGATACTTTCACACTGAATTCAATTTAACCTTTGCTTTGTCCTACAGGTAATGAAGCAAGTGAGGAAAATTCACTCTTCTGAGGATGTCAAGACAGATCCTCTCCTTGTATATATTATGATGGCACATAAGACGTGAGAGAACCTGTTTGAAACCATATCACAACACGGTCCTCTGTACCAAAGAACCACTAGTATTTTATAGGCATGCAATTCAATACTTAAAGGAAACGTGTGGTTTTTAACAGGAGAATTGAACTGATGAATTGACAGTGTGCATATTGTAAATATACTACAAGCTACTATTTATTGGAGAAAAGTTAGGAAGTCGGTGTTATTTATGTGTTAACACGTTTGAGACACCATATATTCGTACATCAGCTGCCTTTCTCTATGTATTTATTGTGGGTTTTGCTTCAGTTTTCATGTATTTGTCAGAACTGAATAATGTAAACGTGCACGACAGGGTTTCCGTACCTTTGAATCCTCATAATTACTGAACAGAAATGACTAAAACATTTTTTTTGTTTTCACAAAGAGCTATTTCTTGCCAAATAAATGTTTTTTTACATTACATTTTATGGTATTTATATTATTTTTGTACTAAATGTATTATATTATTTTATGTTTTTATTTAAATGATAATAAATAATAATTCACATGCTTTGTCAGAAATGATTATTTTAAATTATATTTCCCTATTTTTAGTAAGGCCTCGGAAACTCTGAGATAAGCATTGTGTATGCCAGACAGAGTATGCAAATAGAAATTGTGTTATTTATTTTTATTTTTTTATGTTTTTTTATAATTTCCAAATCTCTTGGGATTGGGATCAAAAACAGCTCTATTTTATTCGGTACACTCTCAGAAATAAAGGTACGTGAGTGTCACTGGGTTGGTACCTTTTCAAATGGTACACATTTGTACTTAATGGGTCCATGTTGGTACCTCAAAAGTATATATTAGTACCTAAATATTTTAAGGAAAACACTTTTGCACTTTTAATTACTAATTTGTATCCTTGAAGTATTAATATGGACCTTTACGGTACAAATTTGTACCTTTTGAAAAAGTACCATCTCAGTGACAGCTCTTGAACCTTTATTTCTGAGAGTGTAACAGAAATGTATGAAGCACAGCTCACTCAAAAATCTATTCAAACCAGTCTGTCATCTGTTTGTCAGCTTGGCAAATTCACAACCAACTTGAACAAGCAACATCTGTTTCAGGAAGTTTATCAAACGAAATTCCAGATTAAAATGAATGATTACAAAATCTCACTGTTTAAAACCAGTCAATCCGCTAAATGTGCTTAAGCAACTTGAACATGAGCAAAATTCAGGAACTTCTTTGGCCTCATACAAAACTTCACGTCTTAAAATGTTTGCCTTTTCAACCGAAATCTGTTTCTGGAACTGTTTTACACCTTCAGAGGAAACTCCAAACTTGTTTCTATTGGAATTAATGGATTTTGAATACAAAAGTCAGAGATCTGTTGGTCAGTGTGGCGAGTTTGTGATAGCAACTTTAACATGAGCAAAAAAATTTTTGGGAAATATTATTGGTCTGATATGAAACTCAGCTTTGCACCCTTCCCTTTGGAGAATTACTGGAGTTTGTCTAAAAACTTTTGACCTTTCAACCAATAATCTGTTTGTCAACATGGCAAATTTGCGTATGTTTTTGAGCTAAAAAAATTATCAGATTCAGACCAATCAATAATCTGTTGGCCAGCAATGCCAAAAAGGGTTTAGTAACCTGATTGAGTCACCTGTGAAGCCCTGTCTACATGAACAGTACATTATTTCTACTTCCGCACAATTTATTCTTGTTGTCCCTACACAAATTGATTAAGTTAACCTTTTAACAAATTTATGTGGATTGAACATAAAAAAATTAAGTTGTCCCAATAAAATCTCAAGATTTGTGTTTTTTTTTTAGCTCATTTTAAATAAGTAGTTTGAACAAGTTAAAAAAAGATTATTTTGTGTGCAGATAATTATTAAAACCACAAACGCAATATCAGGTGCCCAAAACTATTTTTTTGAAAGCTCCTACTAGAGTGAACTTTTTTTTTTTTTTTAAACTCAGTAACATTGTGGTTGTGTGGTTAACAAAGATTATTACCTTCATGACGTCTGTGTGCATTCTGTTCATCTTTTGTTTTACGTCAAATTATGCACCAGTATCTTCTTTTGCAGACTGCTGATAAGGTTGTATCACCATCTGCTGGTCTGGATGACAGTGCATCTGTATGTGAATGGAGATTTTTTTTTTTTAACAAATTAAGGTCATACACACTGGGTTCCACACAATTTCTTTATTTAATCTAAGTGCGCTTTATTTATAAACTAATTTGGAGAGGATCACATGCTTTTGATTAAGCAAGGTTGGTCCTGCCTCAGCTCCACATATTGTGCCAATCAGATGAATACTGACACATTATAAATAACCATAGTTTTTCACTTCAGTCATCTTCATCTTGAAGAATTCCCCCTTCCACCTCTACTTCTTCCCTTCTTATAGGGTGGCACGGCGGCCCAGTGGTTTTGACTGTTGCCTCACAGCAAGAACACCAACTCACCGAGCCAGTCTGCATTTCTGTCTAAATTTTGCATGTTCTCCCAGTGCTCGCATGGGTTTTCCTCGGTTTTCTCTCACCGTCTAAAGATATACATCATAAGTAAATTTACTATTCCAGGAGGGACACCCGCGCTCGAGGATATACTGAGCTTAGAGCTCTCCCCCAGGACAGCATGCCAAACTTACTTTATTATCAATCATCAGCTTAGTATGAACTAAAACACAAATCTATTATCGGGTAATAATTTTTACTATTTTAAATTGAAATTTAAAAATTAAGTTGCCCCTAAAAAATTAAAGAACCATGTTGTTTCAGCTCATTTTAAATAAGTAGTTTGAACAAGCAGCAAAAATATATTTTTGAGTGTACTTGTCGACATGGCCTGCAATGACTGGAATTTGACAGTTTAAAACCAACTAATGATCTGTTCAACATAGCAAATACATGAGACCAACTTGAACATAATCAAAAACTGTTTAAGGAACTTTTTCATCTTAACTTAAAGTTCAAAATTTACAATGCTGATTTAGCTAGCACACATAGTCCTAATTTGAACAATTAATCTACTGAAAAAGTTAATCTACATAAAAAAAAAATGTTGGTTTTGTTAGTCTTTAAACAAAATCTCACCATTTGATTTTGCTCTTGGATGGTAAGTCTTCTCTGATGATGTCAAAAAATATGAAGTGTAAAAAAAAAAAGATCAGTTAGTCATGACAGCATGTTTTTAGTTCATTGAAACATATTAAACTAAGTTAATAATGTTCTAACTTAATTTAATAAGTTACGCAAGCTGTTTAAGTCAGTTTAACATAATATTATATAACATAATATATAAAAAGTTCAATTGACTCATTCAACTTCAAAATTTAAGGCAGTCGGCGCCGGTAGCCTAGTGGTACTGCGCGTTGACATATAGCACCAGTGTGCTCGTGGCGACCCGGGTTCGATTCCCATCTCGAGGTCATTTGCCAATCCTTTCCCTCACGCTGGTCCCAGTGCTTTCCTGTCTGAATTCTCTACTGTCTTATCAAAATAAAGGTGAAAAACCCCTAAAAAATAATTATAAAAAAAAAAAATTAAGGCAACCAAGATTTTTTTTTTTACAGTGTCTGCTCAAAATTTTCAGTTGGAAATAATGTCATCAAATAAAAAAAAAGTCAAAGATTTTCTACCTTGCATGACATTGCAGATATCCCATGTTCCTAATAAATTTGATTGATTTTGCTAAAAAAAATTTTTTTAAAAAGTGACAAGAATAGTTAATAACCAGAACAACTGCAACTTCACCATAGGTACAAAAAAAAAGTCAGCAAAATCCATGTGGACGAACATTTCAAATTCTTATGGACATGGGAGACTACTTACTCATTGAGATGAAGTGTTGTGAGTGTACTGTTTGTATTCAGAGGGATTACTCAGCCAAAACAGCTACGCTTCCAGGCCAACATTGCGCTGACATGAAGACCAAACAGAGCCACCCACCGAGCAATGAAATTACCAGCTACAGTCTGATGGCAGCGGTTTTTATGAGAACGCTGGGACAGTCAAAGAATGTACAGTACACTCTACCGATTTAATGGTTTTCACATTGTCGGGTTGTGTTTTTTTCATTTTGTGTGTACAAGTTTTATGGTTACTTGACCTTGTTGTATACTTAAATGGTCATACAAAGGATTTTTGTGTCTGAGAGTTTGTTTGATTCCAGGTCAATTAGGGTATTAAGTAAAAACGTGGTTTGGTTATATGTCTAAACCATCATTGTACAAGTTTCTTGCGAATGTAACCTTTCTTTTCTTTAACCTTCCTGTCAATACAGACCCTTTGCAGCATCTGAAGTATGCATACTGTTTATTCAATTGCATATTATTGTATTGTTTACTTGCATTTTTTTAATTAAAACACAAATCTAATAATTTTGTGTCGATAAATGACTCTTACGATTTTTGATATTTGATATGATTTATATCAGTGCACTATTTATTAACAATAACCCAAAATACTAAAATAGACTTACAAATTAAAATTTGTTTCTAATAAACCAAAAAAACTTTTGGCTGTATGTTATATGATGAGATATTTGCAGTTTCAAACACTTAAAGTTGGATGTAACGAATAAATTTCATTAAAAAAATGAAATAAAAAACATTTATTAGGCGTCCAAAAGGTGCACCATACTACTAATAATAATAATAAAAAAAAAACATTTAAACAAAAATACAACTAATGTAAGCAGAAATTTAACTAGTAGAAAATAGGGAAACACTTGATAAAGTATTATAGCCTACTGTACTATTCACTCTTTAAATAAATCTCACTATCAATCACATTTTATCATGGCAACTAAATTACGTGAACAAGTCTCTGCTGTCTTCCACATTGTTAATGAGATTTTGGAGGACATTTTCCCTGTCATCATCTACATTTTGAGGAAAAGCTGTTCCACAGGGCCCCTGGACACTCGTATTGGCATGTACAGTGTTTTAACAAGTACTATAGTAAAGTACTTCAATTAATCTGTTGTGGAAATCCAATTGTTGCTATGGTAACACAAGTGTAATATAAACAAATTAACCAGTGCTCTATTTTTTTTTCTTTTTTTTTTTTACAATATAGGCTATATTATTTTATAATTCGCCTCACAACCGGCACGTTCGCTCGCTCGTATTACATGAATGCGCTCTCGTACATCCATCTCATGAACGTACTGTCTTCTGCCATTTTCTTCTATTTGCCGCTTTTCATGCTTCGCGTTAGGGCTTAACGTTACTGTGAACCGGACTGAGCCAATAGCCTTGGACTTGGAGCTCAGAGGCTGAAATCATTCCGCGTTCAAAGTAAAAAGTTCCAATCGCCAGAGGGAGGTTAATGACAACACACATGTATATTCACTCACCACGAACAGGAAATAGAACTGCTGCATTTTTTATTTGTTCATGTCTTGCGGGCAAAAAGTTTGTTTTGTAACGCAAGCGCTACTGAACATGTATCAAGTAAAATATTACTGAAAATGTATTAGTAATGCCTTACACTACTGCGTTACAGGAAAGTGTAATACATTACTAAAATACATAACT